TTGAATTTGATCGAATCAAATCAAATATAAATTTGAATTTGTATTTGATTTGATTTTCAAATCAAATATTCAAATATTAAATTGAATTGTAGAATCCTAGTTATAGACTTAGAAACTTTTATAAAAAGCACTTTTATGCATTCGGTTATCTTTCAATATCTACCTAGGAGGAAGCATTGCATCTTCTTTAATATATATTAATTGATTCCTTACAAAGTGACGTTGAGATCCTGAATTATCTAAATAATATAAAACAGGCATTGGAGGATTCTTTCCAATAATAATTCTTCGGATTTTATGTAGGCTAAGGGATCATATCAAATCTGTTATCCTGCGTTGTTCAAAAGAATCATTTTTTCATTCTCTCTTAGCAAGTAAGAATCAAACAGTAGTACTCTTTGGTAGTTATGGTTCATCAATGCCTATTAGGTAATTATATTTTACCAATGGTTTGGAATATATCCGATCAAGTTTGTGGTATCATTAGGACTCATTCCAATTAATTGAGTAGGGGTAACATTCATATTATCAACAATCCTCCTCACAAATCGTTCATATTCTATACAGCGTTCGCCTATAGGTAAGAGAAACTCTACAGCATACTGGTTTTTAAAAACTTTAAATTTGAATATTCCAGTATAATTGTTATACAAAGGCTAAGCTAGTATGTCTGAAACATGCTAATATTCTTCAGATTTCAACACTATACTTATCTGTTAATAAAGTTACATATCCCATAAACTCAGTGCCCTTATCATATTGTAGTTTTCAAGACCAGTTAAGAAATTTGTCATGATTATCATAAATCCTCTTAAAGTCTTTTACTACTTTTTGATATTAAAAAAATGAAATCTTTATATCTAATTGCATAGTCTATAACCAATAATACATAGTAAAAGATTGGATCATATTCAATAATCTATATTCATATCATCATATGGTATTTTGATCAAATCAGATGTACAGTATTCAGTTTTGTGATTCTAGAATAGTTAGCATAAGGTATATGCTTAGGTGAAAGACAAAAGATTTGATATATTGCTTGAGCATCAAGCCATTTTTTTATATTAGTAAATAGGATGATATGTCCAGTTTTTTTACATGCATCCTATAATTCCTTAATATTTTAATAAAGACCTTCAGATTATTATACAGCTACTATAAGGCAAGATTTCAGTCAAGATCATGCTCTTTTTGAGGATTGATATAAATCAAGGATTCCTTCATTTTGAATCTCTTTATAATAACGAAAAAAAGAATAACATTTCATAGATCTCATCTAAGGCAAAGAAGAACCTGTAAAGAATATAAAGCCAAGTTGGAGGAGAATAATTATTAGCTTTAAGATGCTTTACAGACAGAGGTAGAAAATAATCGCCTGAATGAGAATGGTTTAATCAACTGGAGCGTGAATATAGCCGATGTGAGCAGGAAATCCAAGATTTTAATAAAGATATAGAGCGTCTTGAGAATGCTTCAGAAGAAAAGATGGCAGAGTTAAGATCCAAAATCTCCAGTCTAAAAAGTCAGCTATATCAAGTTAAGAAGGATGTGTGAGATAAGAAAAAATATATCTCTAGTTTAGAAAAGCAGTTAGTAGAATCTGAGGAGCAAGTAGAAAGATTGCAATGTCAGATCGAAACTATCTCATCAAAGAAAAATTCACTAGTATGAGAGAATTCTCCTGACCTGTATAAGTCTGATAATAATATAGCCTCAATTATAAAGCTAGCAGATACTATAGATAATTATGTGGATAATAGAGCAATACATATAGATATCTTATCAAACCAAATAAAAAGGGCAACAAGACAAATTTGTCAAAAATTTAATGGTTTGCAACAGGATTTAACCAAGAGCAGAGAAGGTGTTATAATGCAGAGGCTGAAAGGGATAATGAAATAATACAAAGAAATCTTGCTGAAGGAGTAATGAATAGAGTTGTTAGTAATCTTCAGCAATATCAAACTAATACTCAAAACTAGGTAAATAGAATAATAGGTAATATAGTAAAAAAGCAAACACATTATTATGAGAAAGTTTTGCTTTCTGATTATTATATCAGCGAGATACTAATCATCTTCAGCAAAATACCCATTAGTTGCAGACTAATACCCAAAACTAGTTTAATAGGATGATAATTATTATAGTAAGAAACAAACTCGTATTGGTGAATTGCTAAGTGAAAAGTTTGTTTTTCAGTTAGTAATTAGACAAAAGGATCAGAATATTTTAAATTTGTAGGGACAAATTTTAGCATTACAGAATAATCCACCTAATCAACTAAACATGGCAGGAATTTTCCAACCATTTTTTAAGTAGGATGATGATATCTCAAAATCAAGGTGTAAATTCAACTGATAATGCAAACGATCCACCAATTGGAAGAGAAGTAGCAATAGGGTATTTAAGAAGATGTATGAGTGGAAAAAACCTAGAATAGTTCGATGAGAAGATTACTACAAAGACAAATTAGAAGTTAACTAACCTGACTGATGGTATAGGACAAGACAATTTGGTTGCAGTAAATGGACATACAGCTCTTTAGATAGATGCTGATAGATTAAATGAGGCAGCTGGATAACCTGGAAATGCAATAGTCAAATTAAGAGTTGTAGAAGGTCCTTGGAGTGAAGACTGGCGTGTAGCAAGAGGTCACCTTACTAATGTCTCTATTAATCTACCAAATGCTGATAATAGTATCACAATAGTTATTGCTAGTATTCGATTTGGTCAAGCTGTATGGTAACTAAAAACTCATTTTTCTACAGTAAAAGAAGAGCTTCGGGATATGATGTATGAAATGATCACAAAGGGAAATATGACTATAGATGAATTATATAGAAAATTATTACAAATAAGTGTATGAAACAACTACCATTCGATTCCTCAAAACTAGGCGGATCTAATGAGCTAATATTCATTTATTTTGGATCATCCCATCTCGAGATATTTGCGATCGTATTTCGAAATCCAGACTCCTTTATTTAAAGTAGAATTTAT